AGAGCGGAATATTGCGCGAGGGGCTCTGGCACGGTCGGCGTCGCACGTGACTGACATGCAAGCCGCGACGAGCCACGTGCAGAGCGAGGAGGTGGTGGTCGAAGCCATGGAAGGTTCACGAAATCAACAATCAACGACAACTGCTAGTGGAAACGACGAGACACATGAAAGTCTTTTTGGCTGAGATTGAGATTAAGATTGAGATTGAGATTGAGATTGAGATTGAGATTGAAAATCTTCTTCACAAACACAAATGCATTCCGTCTCTCTCTTTATACTCTCCAACACCACGCTGCGCTTCTGCACTTTGCTCTCACTCTCTCTATGTCTAATCACACCCACAAATAATATAACATTCACATTTTTTATCACACCTTCTTTTTTTACTTATTACTTATTAGTGTTACTCTTTCCTTTTCATAAACACTCCTATCATTTAATCATATTATTATTATTATTATTATTATTATTATAAAACAACCACTTACTTCAACTAACGCCAAAACCTTAGCTAAAATGTTTAATTTTTATTTAATATTTTATAATTACTTTTAAAATATATTTAATTGATGAATAATATATATAAAAAATATATAATAAAAAAGTTGCATCCATATGGTTAAATTGAAAAGAAAAATGCGTAATATTTAACTTGTCTCTGATTGGAGGTGACTAAGCCGTGTTTGGATTCCTTTTGGTTGTAGAATATGCTGGAGTGAGTGGCGTGATTTACTTTGTTTGTCTAAAGCGAAATGTGTTAAGTTAAGTCGGAATTGCGAGCGTGGAATAGGATGGGTAAAATAGAGAGAGACATAAATAAAATTACTTGGCTTGTTATTTATTTTTATTATAATATATTAATATGTGGTCCAGTGGGATACATGACCTAAAACTGTATGGACAAACAAGTCTTGGTCTCTTAGCCGCGCCCTTTTCCCTCCCAAGTGAGGGATAATCGTCACTTTAAAATGGAAATAAATAAATAACAAAAATAAACACTCAATTTCCTAAATCTCACTTGCTTCCTAACATCGCCTTAAATTATTATTAAATTTTCCCACCATCTTGTACTTGATTCACCGGCCAATAATTCCCTTTTATACTCAATTTTTTCCTCTCTCTATATATTTTTTAAGATAATATAAAATCAAAAATAATAATAAAGATTACAAATATAAATCAAATGAGATAATATAATTAAAAAATTAAATTAAATTAGAGACCAAAATTAATTATAAAATTAGACTGTAACTAGCATTGATAGAGGGGATAATTTTGTTACGAAAAGATTCTCATTTTCTTTCATGCTTGTTTTTAGACGATTTTCTAACTTCTTCAAAATTGGTAAATGGATCATTTGTTATAGATTTTTTTACTAAAAAAAAATAATATATTTTTATATCTATAATTTTACAAATGTGCAATTTTGATCTTTCAAGAAAAATATTATAGATTTGGTATTTTTATTTTTAAAATTAGACAATATTGATTCACTATTAATATATCATCCAAAATAAAACAAAAATGTTGATATCTTCATAAATAACACTACATGAGAGTTAATTAGTCGCACAAACTTCTATGTAAGAAATAAAAAATAATATATTATTTATTCTCACAAATGTCAAAAGTGATCCAACTACAAGGTTACAAATATATATATATGATTTGGTAGCTTATGGTGCAAGTTAAGTTAACATAGGTTAAATGTAACTTAGGTTAGGTTAAATGAACCCGATGCTACTAACCCTACTTACATTTTAAATTTCAATTTTCCCTCTCATTTATGTCACTATCTTAAATCTAAAATGATCAATGAGAGTTTGCTACACGACAAGACAATGAAAGTGTAACTCATGTCATCATCCTAGATCTAAAAGAGCCAGTGAGAGGTTGCCACTTGATATGGTATATAAAGTGTAACTATATAAGGTCATGTGACATATTGACTTCTTAAATGAACTAGGAGACATCCCTTTCCCCTCTATGTTGGATGTCCAATACACTTGCTTCAAGCAAGTAGACATCCCACATGGGCCAAGGAAGAATGCTTTTGGACCTTTTAAGTCCAATAAATCCAACTAGTTTTTTTCTAGTTTCATCCCTCATAAAATACTATTTACATCCCTAAAATTATAAATATAAGAAAATAAATTCCTACACTACTTAACCTATAAAAAAAAAACACTGGCTAAAAAATAAGGAAAGTATTTACAATGAAAAGTATGTACAAAGAGAAGAAAGTAAACTGCTAAAAGTAACTCAAAGCTCAATAAGAGCTCTACCTTCTTCCTTTGAGCTTAAATCACCCCTCTTGTCTTCTTTAGGACTTGGCCCCCTAGCATGTTATCATCGTAGTGGAGATTTAACACTCCATTTTCAGAGACAACTAAACTCAAGAAGAATTTTTCAACAGTTAGACTTGTAGTGCACCACAATATCATATCCTTACAATGTGATATTCATTTTTTTTAAAATAATTCCTTTATTCTAAGCTTAAGTCAATTAACCTAGTGTAACTACATCCATTAAGCATTCACAACATAGCTACTTTCAACACTACACATCCTATCATCATACAACTCTACTATGAATCAACTTACAACTTTCATTTATAGTCAACTTGCAACTTAAGCAACTTAAACATCATTATACATCATCCAAAGTTAATGCATAATGAACTAGAATCATATATCACCATACATCATATGAGTACTTCAATCTATTTAACACATGTTCAACACTTATTCAAATAAAAATAAAGTTTTCATTTGGTAACTCGTGCTTGACATCATTCTCTCCGTGCTTGTTGTCATCAAGCTATGTCACATCCAACATCATGAAGCTGCACCTGGCACTATAGTGATTTATGCACTTGATAGAGTCACGACTTTGGCCCAAACTTTAAATTCAACAAACCCTAGCAACATGAAACTACCAACAACACATATACACACTTCAAATTAGGGATGACAAATATACCTGTACTCGCGGGTAATACCCAAACCTGTCCCAACTTTGACGGAGAATACCCGGTTTGACCGGGTACAGGTACGGGTACGGGTAAAATTCGATATATTAAATCGGGTACGGGTACGGGTACGAGTATGTACTTACCCACCCCGTACCTGTACCCGTTCCCATTTTTTATTTAATACCCACTTTCAATTTAATTATATTAAAGAATTTTAATATTTTTTATGTGTGATTATTTATTATAATTGAGATAGATAAATAACTTAATTATAATTATAATATAATAAAAAAATTAATTTAAAAATATCATTTTTTTACAAAAAATAAAAAATAAAAAAAATTGACGGGTACGGGTACAGGTATACCTGATACCCGACAAGGAAGGAGATGGGGATGAAAATCACATACCCAACGGGTACGAGCATGGGGATAAGGATGGGTTTGACTCGCGAGGACGAGGACGGGTATCATGAAACCCGTAGTCGACCCGCCCCGTTGCCATCCCTACTTCAAATGAGTCAATTTCAACAAAAGAATCCACATGCAACCATTAGCCACTCAAAATCACCAATATTCTCCCAACATACTCCAAGAATAATGCAAGAGCTCAAAACAAGTAATCTTTTTTCTTGAATTCAATTGAAACAACCATCTAAGGATTAATTCAACCATAAAACAACAACTCTTTAAATCAACAAATCAATAAGTTTCCATTACCTTCGGTCGCCTAGAACAGAGAAAGAAGAAGACAATGGAGTCTCTTGGGCTTACTCTGCACAACAACTGCAAAGCTCAAATTCTCAGGTCTGAAGCTTTGAATCACCAACTAGCAACAAAAATCTCACAGGGGAAGAATCCTACAACACACTAAAGGACTCAAAAGAAGATGGGAGAAATTTTGGCTCCAGAGTTCTGTTGCATCTAAAATGCACTTAAGGCAAATATACCTTACCATAATAATAACAATGGACAAAGTCTAGATATCAAACTTAGAGGACAAAGTTCAAGCCTTTACCAACTTAATCTTGATTTTTAACAGTTTGAATAAACAAATTTTAATCGTAAGAATATTAATTGATAAATTAAAAACAAAGACTAAAAAATTGTTATTTAAATTCAGAAATAAAAACTCTAGAATTGTGACTTATTATTTTCTATACCACCAAGATAAAATTCATAAATTATAAAACAATATCGTCAACTTTACCTCTAAAATTGTTAGCAACTCTATGGTTATAGGATGTCAATAGTCTTTATCTTAAAAAAAAACTCAAATTGATTATAAGAGTTTCATTCTAAAACACGAAGCATATGCATGCGGAAGTGAATTAAATGATTAATTCAATTAGAAATTAAGAAAATAACTTGATCATGCCAATTTTTAGAATTTAATTATTTTAGGGTTCCATTAATTAAAAGAGTTTGAGTATGCACTTCTAATTAACTAAGATATGAAATAATATATTAAAATAATTCAACAATTAACAACAAACAAATCATGAATTCATCATTGAGAGTTCACAAGGAACAATTACATCACAATTCTAACGGGTACGGGTAAAATTCGATATATTAAATCGGGTACGGGTACGGGTACGAGTATGTACTTACCCACCCCGTACCTGTACCCGTTCCCATTTTTTATTTAATACCCACTTTCAATTTAATTATATTAAAGAATTTTAATATTTTTTATGTGTGATTATTTATTATAATTGAGATAGATAAATAACTTAATTATAATTATAATATAATAAAAAAATTAATTTAAAAATATCATTTTTTTACAAAAAATAAAAAATAAAAAAAATTGACGGGTACGGGTACAGGTATACCTGATACCCGACAAGGAAGGAGATGGGGATGAAAATCACATACCCAACGGGTACGAGCATGGGGATAAGGATGGGTTTGACTCGCGAGGACGAGGACGGGTATCATGAAACCCGTAGTCGACCCGCCCCGTTGCCATCCCTACTTCAAATGAGTCAATTTCAACAAAAGAATCCACATGCAACCATTAGCCACTCAAAATCACCAATATTCTCCCAACATACTCCAAGAATAATGCAAGAGCTCAAAACAAGTAATCTTTTTTCTTGAATTCAATTGAAACAACCATCTAAGGATTAATTCAACCATAAAACAACAACTCTTTAAATCAACAAATCAATAAGTTTCCATTACCTTCGGTCGCCTAGAACAGAGAAAGAAGAAGACAATGGAGTCTCTTGGGCTTACTCTGCACAACAACTGCAAAGCTCAAATTCTCAGGTCTGAAGCTTTGAATCACCAACTAGCAACAAAAATCTCACAGGGGAAGAATCCTACAACACACTAAAGGACTCAAAAGAAGATGGGAGAAAT